CTAGGCACATAAACCAGTAAACCTGGAAGAAATTGATAAATTCCTGGACACTGGCACCCTCCCAAGCCTAAACCAGGAAGAAGTCGAAACCCTGAGTAGACCAATAACAAGGGCTGAAGTTGAGGCAGCAATTAATAGCCTACCAACCAAAAAAAGTCCAGGTCCAGATGGGTTCACAGCTGAATTCTACCAGATGTACAAAGAGGAGCTGGTACCACTCCTTCTGAAACTATTCCAAACAATCCAAAAAGAGGGACTCCTTCCCAAATCATTTTAGGATAACAAAACCCAGCAGAGACTCAACAAAAAAAGAAAACTTCAGGCCAATATCCATTATGAACATAGATGCAAAATTCTTCAATAAAATACTGACAAACTGATTGTAACAGCACATCAAAAAGCTTATCCAATCAAGCTTATTATGATCAAGTAGGCTTCATTCCATGGAGGCAAGGCTGGTTCAACATATGCAAGTCTATAAATGTAATCCACCACATAAACAGAACCAAAGACAAAAACCACATGATTATCTCAATAGATGCAAAGGTGGCCTTCGACAAAATTCAACAGTGCTTTATGCTAAAAACTCTCAATAAACTAGGTATTGAAGGAACATACCTCAAAACAATAAAAGCCATTTACAAGAAACCTACAGCCAATATCATACTGAATGGGCAAAAACTGGAAGCATTCCCTTTGAAATCCAGCACTAGACAAGGATGCCCTCTCTCATTACTCCTATTCAATATAGTATTGGAAGTTCTAGTAAGAGCAATTGGGCAAGAAAAAAAATAAAGGGCATTCAATTAGGAAAAGAGGAAGTCAAATTGTCCCTATTTGCAGATGACATGATTGTATATTTAGAAGACCCCATCATCTCAGCCCAACATCTCCTTAACCTGACAAGCAACTTTAGCAAAGTCTCAGGATACAAAAATCAATGTGCAAAAATAACAAGCATTTCTATACACCAATAACAGACTAACAGAGAGCCAAATCATGAGCAAACTCCCATTCACATCTAACAAAGGATGCAAAGGACCTCTTCAAGGAGAACTACAAACCACTGCTCAACAAAATAAGAGAGGACACAAACAGATGGAGAAACATTCCATGCTCATGGTTAGGAAGAATCAATATTGTGAAAATGACCATACTGCCCAAAGTAATTTGGTAATTGGTAGCTTTATGGGGATAGATTCAATGCTATCCCCATCAAGCTACCAACGACCCTCTTCACAGAACTGGAAAAAAACACCTTAAACTTCATATGGAACCAAAAGAGAGCCCACATAGCCAAGACAATCCTAAGCAAAAAGAACAAAGCTGGAGCCATCACACTACCTGACTTCAAACTATACTACAAGGCTACAGTAATCAAAACAGCATGGTACTGGTACCAAAACAGAGATATAGACGAGTGGAACAAATAGAGGCCCGGGAGGCAACACCACACATCTACAACCATCTGATCTTTGACAAACCAGACAAAAACAAGCAAATGGGGAAAGGATTCCTTGTTTAATAAATGGTATTGGGAAAACTGGCTAGCCATGTGCAGAAAGCAGAAACTGGACACCTTCCTGATACCTTATACTAAAATTAACTCCAGATGGATTAAAGACTTAAACATAAGACCTAACACCATAAAAATCCTAGAAAAAAACCTAGGCAAAACCATTCAGGACATAGGCATAGGCAAGGACTTCATTACCAAAAGCATTGGCAACAAAAGCCAAAATAGACAAACGGGACCTAATTAAACTCCAGAGCTTCTGTACAGCAAAAGGAACAATCATTACAGTGAACTGGCAACCTACAGAATGGGAAAAAATTTTTGCAATCTACCCATCTGACAAAGGACTTATATCCAGAATCTGCAAAGAACTAAAACAGATTTACAAGAAAAAAATAAACCCATTGAAAGTGGGCAAATGATATGAACAGACACTTTTCAAAAGAAGACATATATGAGGCTAACAAACATATGAAAAAATGCTTGTCATCACTGATTATTAGAGAAATGCAAATCAAAACCACATTGAGATACCACTTCACACCAGTTAGAATGGTGATCATTAAAAAATCTGGAGACAACAGATGCTGGAGAGGATGTGGAGAAATAGGAACACTTTTACACTGTTGGTGGGAGTATAAATTAGTTCAACCATGGTGGAAGACAGTGTGGCATGTCCTCAAGGACCTAGAAATAGATATTCCATTCAACCCAGCAATCCAACTACTGGGTATATACCCAAGGGATTATAAATCATTCTATTATAAAGACACATGCACACATATATTCATAGCAGCTGTGTTTACAATAGCAAAGACCTGGAACCAACCCAAATGCCCATCGACAATAGACTGGACAAGGAAAATGTGGCACATATACACCATGGAATACTATGCAGCCATAAAAAACGATGAGTTTGTGTCGTTTGTAGGGACATGGATGAATCTGGAAAGCATCATTCTCAGCAAACTGACACAAGAACAGAAAATCAAACACTGCATGTTCTCACTCATATGCGGGTATTGAACAATGAGAACACATGGACACAGGGAGGGGTGCATCACACAATGGGGTCTGTTGGGGGGGCCAAGGGAGGGACAGTGGGGGGGTGGGGAGGTAGAAGAAGAATAACATGAGAGAAATGCCAGATGTAGGTGACGAGGGGATGGAGGCAGCAAACCACATTGCCATGTGCGTACCTATGCAACAATCCTGCATGATCTGCACATGTACCCCAGAACCTAAAGTACAAAAAAAAGATAAAAGAAAATATACATGTTCCATATACCAAAATAATTTTTAGTGCATATGGGCATGATATGGGCCGGATAACCCAAGCATATTTTCGTCACTTTGGAATTTTCAACTCTAACATTTTAGGCATAAATATATTACCTTGGCACAGTGACATAACTGAAGGTAAGTGTGTTCAGTTGTTGACATTTAAACACCTGAGAAATTTCAGTAACTTTACCCTGCTTTGGATATAAAGGATGTACAATTTATGTCATATAAAAACACTTAGTTTCTATATGTAGAGATACATTGTATACCAAACATCCAAATCTTATTTCTAAATCGGTATCTTCTGAAAACCTTTCAAATTAAATACATTTCACATACTCTCGACACTTCGAATTTTAAACCTGTGGTTGGTCAGCAGAATGGTTAGACTCTTAAAGAAAAATGTATCTGGTTATTTATATATTCCATTACTGCATCTATTTTTTCCATCTGTTCATAAAGTTCCACGCTTGACTTGTAACTGAGAACCATAACTGAGAGACCATAAATAATTTTTTAAAGCACATTTGTTTTTGACTAGAAATAATGATCATTCAATTCAGGTGATCATGGAAATTGGGGATGAAAGCACAACCATCTGAATTCTGAGTCATCTGTTATGTTGGAGAGAAGAAACTGTGGCCACTGGCTAACAGCCTTTCTACCTGACCTCTCAGCTCCTGCCCAGGCTCCAGAGATCACCGAAGCTCATTTAACACTTCTCTCTCATTAAGCGTGAAAGAAAAGATGCCCTCAAAGTGAGTGAAGCATCCCATATGAACACAGTTGCATTCACTGAGTTCCAGGAAACTGTCTTTCAGAATCATTTGGAAGAATTTAGGTTTTAACACACCAGGGCGCTCCATTAAAACACTTCAAAATTCCAAGGTTAGAAATTGGAAGACGTGGAAACAAACAAGAACTTCAAGGTCAGGACTATTAAATGCTTACTAAAAGACCTGCTGGAGAAACTTGATTCTTTGCTAGTACTTGTTCCACTATTCATTCCTTTTCAACTACACGTGAACAGTGCGGGTGTATTTATTCTTACATTCTCAATCATGACAAAGACGCATTTTCAAAGTTTCCAAAAGGTCGTAGTTTAGAAAACACTTTTGGGAAATCATTTTAGTACTTTTTTCCACTGGTTATTAAGGATCTTTACTGAGGAAACAGAATCTCAACATGCCCAAAGGGGTTACTAATAGCCAGGGAAAAGATCTGGCAAGGAATCAGCCGGCATTTCCTTATCTATTAATCTCTCTTGGGAGTAGACACAGGAAATGGTGTCAATATGAATCTACCGTATTTTTACAGTGGGAAGAAACATCGTAATCTTGAAGAATCAATTGTTGAATTCAATGCCTTCCTTTGCCACTACAATCCTGTTTATAATATCTGAAATAAAGAATCACTGAATCTATTTTTCTATCACCAGGGAATAAATCAAGGAGAATCAGGAAACATTTAACATGAGTTAACTCATATTCATAACGAGAAAGCTTCAAGAATTCTCTAAGGGCTTAAAGAAGAGTGGTATGATGGAAAGACACTAGACAGAGAAAGGAAAGCTTTGCCGTAGTCCCAGCTCTGTCGCTCACAAGCTGTATGATCTTGAACAAATCACTTCGTTTCTTTGATTCTCAGTTTTTTTCATCTGTAAGTTGGGGGTGGGGTCAGACTTTGATCTTTAAACTCCTTTCCAGCTCCAGGTGACCACTGTATCAATTACCTTTTAGACACCCTTCCCCGAGATATAAACAGATATTACTTTGGGAAATCGGCTGAGTACATGAGAGGAACTCTGACTTGTTCTTGGGTCTTGGCTCACAAAGCGTGCACTGAGGCAAGGGCAGAGATCAGTAACACAATGTTGAGAGCACTGCCGGGTCAGTGTCAGCTGTGTTTCTCAGCCAGATACACGATGATATGCGAGGCATCAGAATGACAACTGAAAGCCAAGCCATTTGTTCTGTTGGCCACTCACCGCTGACAGTCTGAGGGCCACGGGAGCCAAGACAGAAACACATCTGTGTTTCATTCAGTATGCTTTACATTTAGAATGGCTGCCTCCCCTCCTCCTCCTGTCTATCTTTCTTGGACTTGAGGCAGTCACATGACTCAGCTGCATGCAGGAAGAGAAGAGAGAGAAAAAGGGCAAGAAGATGGTGGGGATCTGAGCCAGAATCCCCTTTCTTACCTCCTCCACAGGACTCGGAGCACTTGGTGAATCCCTCATACTCCCAGTCATACAGCTCGTCGAAATCCTGCAGGCCACCGAAGAGCCCCTCTGTCTCGTCTGGGCTGAACTCAGGAATTTCCCCGCTGCATGGCCCTGCGTAACAGGCACGCTGGGATGCCGGCTTGGGCCCTTCACACTCATCCACGGGCAGGTCAGCCACGGACTGAGAGAAAGACAGGAGCACCTGGCACCTGACTATTCGCACCTGGGTCCCCACACCACAGGTGACTGTGCAGGCCGACCAGGCCTCTGGGATGAACCTACAGTCGGCAAGCAAACAAGAGGACAGGATGAGAAGCCCCAGGCAGGAGGCCGTGGGGGTTGTGAGGGGCTGCATCCCACCTGCCTCCATTGCCCAGAGCTGTCCCGGGGGTGCTCGGGGATCCTCCACCCTGTCCTGTTGGCGCTTCAGTTTAGTTCTTAAGCTCTTTTGCCACTGTTTCTGGGTTGCTTGCTTCATGAATGTCACATGAACTCCCAGCTGCAAGACATTCCAGAGACCACCTGCTTGCTCCCTGCTTTGCACCCACAGTGATAGCTCTTCCAAGCAGGGGACTGGTGGCTTCTTCTCGCTCTAAATCCCAGTGAGATAGGAATTTGTTTTACAAGACCCCACTAATAAAATAGGATGCTGGAAAGAAGCCGGCCAGATCCTGTCAAACCAAGATGGTAATAAAAGCAACCTCTGGTTGTCCTCATTGCTCATTATACACTAATTATAAAACATTAGCATACTAAAAGACACTCCCACCAGTGCCATGACAATTTACAAATGCCATAGCAATGTCTGGAAGTTACCCTATATGGTCTGAAAAGGGGAGGATCCTCAATTCCAGGAATTCCTCATTCCTTTCCTGGAAAACTCATGAATAATCTATCCCTAGTTTAGCATATGATCAAGAAATAATCATAAAAATAGCCAACCTCAGGGCTGTTCTGCTTATGGAGTAGCCGCCCTTTTATTCCTTTACTTTAATAAACTTGCTTTCACTTTGCTCTGTCAGCAAGCTCTTGAATTTCTTCCTGCGTGAAACCAAGAACCCATGAGGTCCCACCCAGGCTGGACCTCAGTTTTGGGGTTTGCCCTGTGACACCAACACCTGTGCCTCTTGCAAGTTGCTGGCTATTCTTATAGCAGACTGATACTGATAACAAAATAAGCCCTTACAGATATTTAAGGAAGCTGTTTTTTTTTTTTTTTAGTCTGGATCTCATATTCTTTAACTTTCTTTGTTCAATATGCTTCCTGAGATTTATTTATATGTATAAGGAGGTATTTTTGTATGTAAGTTTCCAAGAATGGTGCAAAGCCTTGTTCCTCACACATTCTGTGAATCAGTCTGATCTCCAGTTCTTTTTATGTCATAGAGAAAAGCCGTGCTGCAAATGTAAATCCACAGGCATACCACAGAAAATGAGAGGTTTTGCATTCAGACAAGTGTGTTCAACGTCCTCACAGCCAGTCCCCCAAACGAAGCTACGTTAGTAAGAACTTGGTTTTTCTCTGAGTTTTTCTCTAGAATGTAGAAAAATACCCAAATCTTCAAAAATGTCCTCCCACCTTCATTAATCAACCAGGACCATAACTATAATGACCTTGAGAGGGGCCTAGGGAAAAAGCCCAGAAGGAACCACTCATGGTTTCAGAAAGTTAGTATAATAATTCAGAGAAAAAACTTTAGGATCATTTTTTATTTTTTATTTTTCCATGATCCTATTGCTTTCTCACAGGGAGTCGTGCTGAGGAAGACTGCAAACCTGGCTCCTTAACCTTGACTTTGGCAGACAATGAAAGAACTGATAAGAAGGTTATAGCATTAAATGCTAGCAAGTGCAAACGATTCCTATCTGGTTCAGGGAAATTGAAATTCTAACAGCAAACCGATCCAAGTTTTCAAATTGGAAGGAACACAACAAAGATGTGTCCTGGGCCTGAGCCTGGGCTCCGTGTGGAGCTGCGGTGGTCTGCTCAGAAGAGGAGACTTCCCCCAAAGCAGCACTCAGCGCTCTGAGGCAGGAGTCTCAGGCATGGCAAGAAACCCTTTGAGAAAGGCCTGACCCCAGCTATCTTTGAAGAGTCATCCACTAGGGGAAAACAAAGGACCCCTAAACCTTGTCGGGAAGGTAGATAAGGGTAGAATGGCCACCCAGAATTATCCCCAAGAAAATCTCATCACAATTTCACCTCCCTTTCACCTTTTGACTTATTTGTTCTACCTTTTGCACCTAGAGAACTTGGGGAAAAAAATGGTATCCTAAAGTATCCAAAAGTCTTCTTGCTTTAAATAATGCCACCTGTAGGGGCTTTTAAAGAACATAAAACCAAAAGCTGCCATCAAAATCATTTTAACCCTCTTATTACACATCTACCTCCACCTGCCTGGCTCCTGTAACAAGAATCATAACAGATACACAAGCACTGAATTTTGCCACGCAGGTGCAGACACAAAGGAAAATGGATGCTAGACTATTTTGTATGTAAGAAAGACACAAAAGCAAATGATTAGCCTACCAACTTTGACAATGTATGATGAATAATACTTCTTTAATAGTGTGGTACCAAAGTTTGTTTTTGAATCAGAAAGATGGCAAGATCTCAAAAAGAACTGCAACCTACCAGCTTTTTTTATGCAGTAAGAATTATGGTTCTGTTGCTTACCTCTTCAGGAACCATTATAACAGAGCAAGGGTTGGCAAGTTTTTTTCCATAAAGGGCCAGATTGGAAATATTTTAGATTTTTGCAGACTGCGTGAACTCTGTTGCAACTACTCAACTCTGCCATTGTGGAATGAAATATGTAAACAAATTAGCGTGGTTGTGTTCCAATAAAACTTTAGTTTTAAAAAGGGGGTGATGGGAAGATGATGGAAGGGTCTGGATTTGGCCTGTGGACTGTAGTTTTCCAGCCTCTGCTACAGAAAAAAACATTTGGTGGCCAGGTGTGGTGGCTCATGCTTTTAATCCCAGCACTTTGGGAGGCTGAGGCGGGTGGATCACAAGGTCAGGAGATTGAGTCCATCCTGGCCAACATGATGAAAACCTGTCTCTACTAAAAATACAAAAATTAGCTGGGTGTGATAGCATGTGGCTGTAATCCCAGCTACTCGGGAGACTGAGGCAGGAGACTAGCTTGAACTAGGGAGTCAGAGGTTGTAGTGAACCAAGATCATACCACTGCACTCCAGCCTGGGCGACAGAGCAAGACTCCATCTCAAAAAAAAAAAAAAAAAAAAAAAAAAAAAAAGGAAGACATACTGAGTTCCATAGATAATCCTCAAACTTATTTTAGGTCTTAGTTTCTATCTTTCTTCACATATATAAACTCATGGAATATGACAAGTAGCTAACTTGATTTGTGTTTTCAAAGTGAGCCCCAGATAAGATCTAGAATATACATGATGCACAAACTAGACCCTTAGCTCTCCTTGTCTATAATATGAATGACTTTGCATCTGATGTCATTCCAGAACCAAGAGGATATACCAAAAGCACATAAAATAGAAAGGCCATTCTATTGAAGCCTCATGAACTTGCTACAGTGGTTGAAACTTATTTAAGGCAGCATGCTTAAATTAAAACATATATAAGTGTGTGTGCGCAAGCATACGTGTATAATTTTTTACTACCTGGACATTTAGGGTTAATAGCAAAAACAATAAACATCTGTTTTATGTCTCCCAAATGAGAGTTTTATCAAATGTAAAACAGCCTCACTGGCTTATCTCCCAATCCACTATCCTTAGGTCTTCATCGAGTTCACACCAATTAAAAACGATTTGGGTTTTAAGTGGTGCTGTCCTTTGGCAGTCATCTTAATTTCTCTAGTGCATAGACTGTATGATATGATATACTCTCTCTTGTTGAAGGCAGGAGATTATGTTTCAAAAGAAAAATATCTGATAGTGCAAATGGCCAAATGAATAATAACTGTTTTTCATATGAGGCTTTTCCCCAAGTCCCTAGATCTCCCAGCTTTGTATTTACTATCTTGAGTTTTCTGGCCATAAGTGGGAGGAAGCAAGGTCAGTGAGAGGGCAGGCAAGTGAGTCAGGAGGTTTAATTCTAATGTTTAGAAGTCTCATCTTGAACAGCACTTGCTGAGCTGGAACCTTTAAAGAGAGACATTTAAAATAGAGTGAAAAAGGTTCTTATCATTTATATTAAATTTGGGAAGTTTAAAAATTCTTTCTGTTGGCTAGGCGTAGTGGCTCATGCCTGTAATCCCAGCACTTTGGGAGGCCGAGGCAGGTGGATCACCTGGGGTCAAGAGTCCGAGACCAGCCTGGCCAACAGGGTGAAACCCCGTCTCTAGAAAAATACGAAAATTAGCCAGAGGTGGTGGTGGGCGCCTATAATCCCAGCTACCCGGAGGCTGAGGCAGGAGAATTGCTTGACCCCAGGAGGCAGAGGTTCCAGTGAGCTGAGATCGCACCACTGCACTCCAGCCTAGGTGACAGAGCCAGACTCTGGTTCAAAAAACAAAAAACAAAAAATTCTTTTTATTAGCTACTACTGTTAGATAAATGAAGAATGGTTTGACAAATGAGTTCTTTAAAAGATGGGTATAAACTTCAGAAGTGACTGATAAGAATTTTGTATTTAGTCTTTCCCTCTCAGGAAATTAAAACAACAACAAAAACAAACCATGCCTGGCAAATAAATGCTTTATGCTTCTGGCTGGCCTTCTATTTGCAACCTTGATTATTCCTTTCATTAACAAAAAGCATATTCTTTAATTACCATAGTCTCTTTTATAAAATAGAAAACAGTGACAATAAAATTCACTTGTAAAATCCCAAAGTTGTTTAAAAGTTTATTAGTGACTATATAGTCAGAGGCATGCACTGAAATAATAACCATCACTTTATTAATATACTGCTAAACGAAAACAATGTGCTCTTGGTTGATTAATCTCATGTCACCATAGATATTAGTCAGCACTAGGCTCTAGGTGTATGTCTACATGGTCTGTAACTAACATATTTGATATGGTTTGGTTCTGCATCTCTACCCAAATCTCATCTTGTAGCTCCCCTAATTCCCATGTGTTGTTGGAGGGACCTAGTGGGAGACAACTGAATCATGGGGGTGGGTCTTTCCCATGCTGTCTCGTGACAGCGAATGGGTCTCACGAGATCTGATGGTTTTAAAAATGGGAGTTTCTCTGCACAAGCTCTTTTTTTTGCCTGCCGTCATCCATATAAGATGTGATTTGCTCCGCCTTGCCTTCTGTCACGATTGTGAGGCTTCCCCAGCCAT